TGTCACGGTGCTTTTGGTGTCGCGACTGCGATAAGTACCAAGACTGAGCACTCGCTTATGGACTGGATTAGTAGCCGACTGTGTGCTTTAGGTCTGGACGATTCGGCACGGGTCAACAACTACAGAACGAAGCGTCAATGCCAATTCGTCGTTTCGGTGTGCACCGACCGATTGCAGTAGAGATGAAGGATGAATTCTACGAGAATCTTTCTTAATTACTCCAAAGTTCTCGAGCAACGCACATCGCAATAGTCGCCGGATACTTCAATGCTCAAGTGGGATCCCTGGACGAATCAGAAAGGCTTCTTGGCGGACCACATGCAATCCCAGACAACCAGAGAGGAAACGGAGATTGCCTATTTCAACTCTGCACAGACCACGGATTGTTCCTATCAAGCACCAATCTCTCGCACAAGAAACGACACCACTCAACTTGGAAACCAACCTCTTCATAGCGTTGAACGCAATTTGACCACATCGTCATCAATTATGGCTGGAGAGGGTCAATTCAAGTAAACCGCTCTTGGCGGTAAACATTTCTTGTTTTAGACCGGGTCCAAGTTGTTTCCATCATATTTTCACTCTTCAACAAATCCTGGCGCAACGATCTGCTCCTCGTAAACCCGCCATCTCTGTCTCACTCGATTTGAAAGCGGCTTCCGACTGAGTCGACCACTTTATACTCTGGAGCGGCCTCTTTCTGAAGGACCTGTCGAAGAAGTTTGTTTCAATTCTGTGATCTCTCTTTATTAACAGCCGAAGCCGAGTCTGAGCTTACGAAACTTTTGCGCTCGAGTTCACTTCAGTGGTGGTGGTGTTCCTCAGGGTTGCTCTCTCTCCCTCCGTTTTTAACTTTATCATAGATTTGATTATGGAAACAGCCCTATCCTCGCACGAGGATAGTGGTATCGGTTTACTCCCAAGTGGCAGGCTGTCTGATCTAGAGTATGCAGGAGACATTGCGTTGCTAAACGGAGATCCCGGTAAGTTGCAAGCTCTTCTGGATAGCTTGAGTGCCAGCGTTATACAACTTCCAAGTGCAAAATGTCGCTACAAGACTGGGTTGGTCCAATACCCAGCCTCACTCTAACGGGAGAAGAACCAGAGCAGGTGGACAAGTTTTATCATATGAGCAATTAGATCTCACCCGGTGGACGCATAATGGATAAAGTGTCAGCTCGCATATAGAAGGCCCTATCGGTGCTTGCCAAATTGGTGCTGCCGCGACATCCGGCTATCAGTAAAGGGTCCAGCGTATGCTGCGGCAGTGCGAATACACAGCATATAAACCTGGCCGTTAGAAACCAGGATAAAAAATAAGATGTCGGTGGTTGAACATTGCTGTCGATGCAGCTTTGTACGAGTCTGGTGGGAAAGTCCGACAAGCCATGGTGGTGTCGGGCGCACTTGGTTGCCCACTAGAACATGTGATCGACCTCCATAGGTTACGCTGGTTGGGGCATGTATTACGCATGTCACCAAATGGGTTACCGCCGCGCGCGGTGTTTGCGCAGGCAAGCAGCGGATGTAAAAAGGTCAAGGGTGGTCAAACTAAAACCGGGCATATATACATATATATATATATATATATATATATATATATATATATATATATATATATATATATATATANTATTACACCAGTTAATCATACGAGATCCATGGATGAAACGGATCTCACTGAAAAACTTGGGCGTCGTGCTCATGATTATTGAGGAAATTAGCTTGTCTTAGTCACGACGAATGAAAACCAAAACACAGTGGCGTTGGTGACAACGCTTCGACTCTCGACAGCTTGAGAACAAGCATGGTGCCAATGCAAAACGATAATGAAGTTATGTAGGATTACAGAAAGATTAAATGAAAATGGGGAAATCAAAGAACACGAGGAACGAATGAATGATTTTTTGATAGTTTCATCGTACACTTCTTGAGGATATTTTTTGTTGTGGAGAACCGGGTTTCGCCAAACAAATCGCACAGCTATCGCGCCACTGACATCTATTATGAACCATATCTGCCAGCGTCTCCAGCCATCGGCAATTCTCATCCCTTGGGCCCCAGCCTGGAAGGAGAGCTGCACCAACCGAAGCCAATGCTGAGGCTAACTTCGTTATACCTCTAGGTCATGTCATGATCTGACCGCCGCGAAGCTTCTTCCAACCTTGCCCGGTACGTGTAAAGGGAGCACGGCAATGGACAGGCATAGGCAAAACAAGAGACTTGGCATGAGTGTATGAAAACCCCAAGCAAGAGACTCGGTCAAATGGATCCCGTTGGAGACACCGAGATCATTGTAACGGTGGTTAGAGGCACTGTGTAACGGTTGAGTGTCATAAACAGTGATGTTCGTCCACCTTCTCAGTTTAATAGCAACATTAGTCCACGGAAATTCTAGATTTTCTCTTTGAATCTACTGTCCACTTCCCTGTCTTTCTCATAATATTTCATCTGAATGGGCAGCCATAAGACAGTAAACAAACCGTCGCACGGAGAAGCATGGGTAATGGTTGTGCATACTGAAAATGAAAACTGCCGTGATGTGTGCCGGGTAGTGTGAAGGGAGAACATGATGGATTTAATACGTACGAGTTGTATCTAAAATTCATGCATTCAAAGTGGAACGACACATGAACACTGCTGATCGGCTTAAGTGAAAAGCGCATGCGTTGTGAAGCTTTAGGAGCAAGCGCCTCCAGGCTGGCAAGTAGGGCTTTGTCAACCGGTTTTTAGTTCTATGAAGAACCTAACGGGAAATCGTGAGGTTAAGCGCAATCGCACAGGCTGGTACTGATCATACTTTGACCGACAGAAGGGCGGAAAAACTCAAGTTGAAATTCGGAACCAGAAATCAGATGGTTAGGCCATTTGCTTAACCCATTACCAAGTCTAAGCAACCAGGTTAATGCATAATATCTGGGTAATGAGATTTCGTGAGAAGTTGCAAAATCAGGTATCTGTGACATGTGAATAAACGACCTCTAGTAGAACCCCGGACAGTGTGGTGTCCACGGCTCGGACATGCTGGTCGAGAATTGCGACTCCCTTTTTTGTGCACATTTATGCATAAAGAAGGTTTCAGTGTCGCAACTTGTTCCAAATTTCCTGCAAATCGCTGAATCGTCTCTATTCAGTGCAACAATCCTTGTCTCTGTCTTACCGACCTGAGTTTTACTCATGAAGAAGGCACGAAAGGTTTGTGTTGCGTGGTTTCAAAACAGATCGAGTGGATCTTTCCTCCCGCTCTGGGGCACAAAAACTGAAGTCACTTGTCTCAACATACTGGGCATCAACGTCGTAATCAACTATTACCACTTCGAACAGGCGAGTCAGAAGACAAACACTGCGATGGAATTCCTTTCGTATACCCTCATCGGTCGCGTACGTATAACATCGAACAAGATATACTAATGAAGTGCATTAAGGAATCTAGTTAGTATTACCCATATGTGCGTATGCGTGTGTGATTGTGTACAGTGTGTGTGATGCACGTGACTGGTTACAGCCAGGGAAGGCCAAGGGTAATGGTCATAAGTTTTTGGATGCACAGTGCATGATGCAGTCGGAGTGTGTGGTGTGGGCTGAGTCACACTTGAGTCACGCACATACTTGGGGATGTGTTCAGCCATTCTAGTTCGCAGTGATCGGTCGGTTCTACCAATGTGTGCTTCGTTGCAGCTGCAACAGCAGGCGTATATGCAATGAGAGGTAGATTCGACTGGACGATGATCTTTGAATGGGGGGAGGGAGAGGCGCCCTGTGATCGGATGGAGTCTTAATGCGGTAGCGTAGTAGGTTCTTTGTAACGCGTTTTGATACGCTATGTGATATGCTGCATTATTGACTCCCCTTTGTATGGCAGCGAGATGCGGATATTCTTTTTTTGGCACTCGAAGGGTAGTGGCTTGAGTCCGGTTTCCTATCCGACTATGAAAACGAACGAAACATTCCGGATAAACATTGCCCGTAATGCGCTACAGATATTCCCCTGTTCACTTAGTATTGTGTCCTCTGCACATATTTTTCTCGCCCTGTGGAACAATGTTCGAACCAGGGTTCTCTTGTGTTCTATTGGTGAGAAACTGTTGAAGTGAAGGTACTGCCCGGACCAAGTATTCTTGTGGAAGATATATCGTTGGATAGCACTGTCACTTTTACGGGTTATTAGGACCCACACTGTGCATCCGAAAGCGTAGGACCATTACCCTTGGCCTTCCCTGGCTGTAACCAGTCACGTGCATCACACACACTGTACACAATCACACACGCATACGCACATATGGGTAATACTAACTAGATTCCTTAATGCGCTTCATTAGTATATCTTGTTCGATGTTATACGTACGCGACCGATGAGAGTATACGAAAGGAATTCCATCTCAGTGTTTGTCTTCTGACTTGCCTGTTTAAATTCATTACGGGATCCAAATATCCCTATTACCACCTCATTCTCTTCTCCGCATATATGTGCTTAGTATAGAAAAAAAATAATTCGAAAGAAATATTTCATTGAAAGAGGTCGGACAGATTTCGCGAGATTAGATTCAACTACTGATAATTACACACTTACCCGAGGTGATTCAGTCCGAGGTTAGTGGTACTCTGTGTGCGTCCACGGTGATCGTACAGCATAGAAGGCAAATCAGTGAAGTGATGCACCTCGTAGAGCAATGTGAAATCTGGGAGTCCATAGATCTGTAACGCGGTGCATTGTGACGATTAATGGTGGGTAGTTTAACGATTAGATGACACGCTACGGTCTGCATGTAGTGAACAGAAACCAACCCACAGGAAAGAACAAATGGCGGTTGTCGACTTTTTGATAAAACAATCTATTTCGTAGTTTCACACCCGCAAATTTGGAAACAAATGAAAATCTCAATAATGAAAACGGATGGACAAAGTATTGATTGGTGAAAATTAAGAAAGTTTGATGGTGAAAAGGAATGAATGCAACTATGCATTTATTCACGAGTCCTTGAGCCAAACACAAAAAACAATCACCCAAGTTTTCAAACTGCAGACTGGCTAATTTTATCGATCACTCTAGCGTTATTTGGCTTGGGTAGAGAGCGAGAGGGAAAGAGAAGAAGATAGAACGATGTATGCAGCATTTCAGTTAGAGAACATATGTTGTTCTAAGAAAACAGATGATAGACGAAATGAAGCTAAACGTGTGTGTGTGTGTACAGTGATTGCACAAGAGAGAAAGAGATAGTTTTCTGATGTCTATACTGAGAAGAGAGAAAAGAGGCACAAACGGCAGTAGTAGTAGTCTGTCCCATGTAGCTAACACGTAGACACTAAGAAAGGGAACAATTTTATTTAATCGAATTTTGCATAAAATCAAAACCAGTATAATTTCATTGTGACATGACTGAATTTTGCAATATCACTATAGTCAGAGATATTGGACAAGTATACCTCTAGAGTAAGAACAAGACAAAGTTCAGCGTCGATGATGGGTGATAAGTAGTTCATTATCAGTGTGTACAAGCACGGGTGGGAAACACATTCTGCAGTGCAATCTCTGACCAATAACGTGTTATCAAGTCTAAATTTCCAAGACTTAGTGGAATGTATGGGCTGAAATTTACTTACGAAAAGCAAGTCAGTGATCGCTACCGGAAGGTCGAATAAGGTTTGGTTAGTTAACTCTCAAAACCGTATTCTGAGCCGCTGCCCTCTAGGTATTGACCTGTAATCACTTTACAACTACAATCTTCAATTGGAGAAAGCAAAAAGCGGTTATCTGCGGTTACAGATGAGTATCATTCAAGGAGAAAACCAAAAGCTTGAAGTCTTAAAGTAGTTCGGCAAAAAGAAATCCAACTGCCCCCGACAATGATGTGCATTCACCGAAGCTCAATGAGACATATCACTGAATCCGCGATTCTGTGGTCCGATCCGCAACGCAGTGAGGCGTAAAGTAGGCACCTGGTGCATCCGTGGAAGAACCTCTTTGCACCAATGAAATCAGGCTTTCGAAAATTGTTCGAGTGTTGTGGTTCCTATTTCTTTGCTTTCCGGAAATGGCCTTTGATTACATGCTCCCGGTAAAAGAAGCAGAATGCGGATGAGGCAACTGGTTGAGGATAACCTGCTGTGTGCTACATGAAATAAGGAGGCTTTTCCACGATCAGACAGATATATTGGCTTCTGGGTGTGGATAGCGAGGCAACATATCCCGTTTAATATTATTCATATGATTAGAATTACGAACTAAAAATCAGCCGAATCAATGGGGTGCGCAAGATATCACGGCCTAGGGGACTTGGATCTGTCACCAAAAAAGATGACAGAACGGTGTACCACAACTTGCCAAGAATCAGCCAGAATGTTGTGGCAGCAAAAATATTCTCCTCGCCCCTACTGCACCGACAATCAATGGAGACAAGAGGTTTTCGCCGCAGAACGGGATGGGCAAACTAATCATTTACTTAGCGCTGAGTACTACGGCATCGATGCAATTACCAACAACCAGCTGCAGTCTGCTTCGTTTATTTTAGAGCCACCTCCGGTATGATGGAGGGAGAGATTCTATGGACCATTCGATGAGTAGATGGTATGCCCGAAAATCTCGTCAGTCTCATCAGATCTCGATGTTCAGAATATACAGTGTAGGCGAAAATATGTTTTCGGTGAAGCCTTTGCAACCACATTTATATGAAACAATTTCAGCAGGGTCAAACAGAAAAGTGAATGAATCATGTGTGTGGTAATATGCTCCAGAGAACTTCAACTTGTTGCGTTGTTCGGATTACGTAACTACAATTCGCTGTGTACGTCACGATTATGTGAACAAGCGACTTTATCTTCCATGAACCAGGGGATTTGGAGAGATTGGATCAATTTTTGTTGTGCGCCCAGTTTTGGATTCATGAGTCGGATACTAATCGCCCCTGCGGTCACTAACGTCCGAAACCGTATTGCTCTCGTGGAGTGCAGTGAGACTCCATAAATGCTCGTAAATACTGAGCACATGTCATCGAAGTGTCCCGCCTCTACCGAATGCGCAACGAGCGAGCTTGGCACGGTCCCAGTCCCCCAATGTGTGCACCAGTGTGGACTGTGTTCTTCAATACGTTACTATCCAACTATGCGTGCAAAACAAACATACATGAAAAAGAATCTAGCAGTTTCTCGTTCAAATCCGGCGTTCAACAGAGTTGATTTCTATCCTCATTGATTGGGTTATGCGCCAAAAACGCAATGATTACCCTATGGTCTAAATGATGCTGGATATTTTCCCATCCGATTTGAAATCTAAAGACGATATCGTCATCCCGGAAAACAACCCAATATCGCAAAAGCCAAGGGACTGCGGGACAACATATCGAAGACCGATGTCTTTTCCTTTTGACCTTCACAGCTCAGTTCAGTGTTAACAGCCATTAACTACGCACTTTTGTCCACGAGTTTTGGCTGTCTTTTGGCCGCCCATTTTGATAAAGAACAGAAGAACGCTTCAAAAGTTGAAGAGAAAAAGGAGAATTCCGGCAGACTAAGATTGCAAAAATAATGAATAGATGCATGAGGGCCACTGCATGCGACACTCAGTCATAACACTTAGTATCTCTAACTATGACTATTCACATTTAACTCGCAGTCACTTGTGAGCAGGGAAGATTGATATTGATTTGAATTGATCATCCTTCCGACTTCGCCTTCACACACAACCCTCAGCTTATCCAGTCAACCATACACTCGGAAACACTAGACTTGAGTTTCACTCTTATTAGAGCTTATCAGTACTGCATATCCACTGTCCCATATGGATTTTGAGCCCCGAACCCATGGCATGGATTGAATGTGCCACCACGGTCAACCAGCTCATACCAATGTTGAATTGAATAGCCTATTCATTTTTGTTCAGGTATCGTTATCAGTGATAGTCAGTCAGTTCACTTTTGATCAGACAGTAACGAAGGAAGATACAGTTGACTATCTGTTAGCTTCAAACAAAAACCAGGATGGTAGATATGCACTACCAAACTGCATTACAAACTCTAAAAAAAGCTAAACTCGAATCTAGTCCTTCCGAGTGTATGGTTGACCGAATGAGCTAAGGATTGCGCGAGAAGACGATGTCCGAGGGATGATCAGTTGAAGTTGATTATATTGGTCCCGAGGTCCCCGTCCAAGGAGCCTAACGCGACTTCCATGACCGAGTCTCCTAACAAGGAAATTTATACTCTCGTGCCAGGTCTTAGTTTGACCATCCGTGGCAACCTAGTTGGTGGAATATGTAATCTATGGAGGTCAGTAGAGAGCCAATCAAATACCTGGTGTCCAGGCTCCTTCGAAATGGATAAACCAAAGATGAATTTAAAGAAAGGATAGACAGCACCGAGAGAGCGCCTCTGTAACTTCGTAAAACACTTTAGGTAAGCAACGGGACCACTTTATGAAGCGAATTCCGAGTCTCCGAGCAACCATTCACTCGACACTGACTTGAAGTTGCAAACATCATCGTTGTCATCGCACAGCGGAATACAGTAAAGCAAACTTCACTGATCGCTGCTAAAATCATAATGCATACAAGGTTAGCGAGAATGTCTAAAGAGGATACGGATTGGGCCTATTTTAGGAACGGTAAAAGAAAGCGAACATCTATGGCCAACCCACAGAGTGCACAAGCACATACGGGGCAGCAAGTTTAAAGTCTCTGACTATCAGTGCCCCAACCAGACTGTCAAGGTGACTTGGACAGACATCACCTCAAATTCGTTTTCAAAATCTAAAAATGGAGGCAATAGTCGATGTCTCTCTGTGCTCTGACTTTGTCACTAATCATCATGTTTGCGTAGG